TAAAACTTTCTTGTGAAATTGCTAACTTTCCTATGAGTTCCTCCAATGATGAGTTTTGTGTTTGTTGTTGAGGAGGAGGCCTTTGTTGATAAGTTGGTCTCTGATTTGCCGCATAGCTGAAGTTTGGGTGGTCTCGCCATCCTGGATTGTAAGTATTGTTGTATGGGTTGTATTGTCTTTGTGGAGGACCTGAAAAGTTCCCTACTGCATTGATTTCTGCATTGCCTCTTTCTTGTATCAGCGGGCAGCAATCCATCGGATGGTCTAGCTTTGTGCATATCCCACATGCTCTTGTTGCTCCAGATTTTCCAACAACAAGTGAATTAACTACTTCAATTAATTTATCTAACTTATTTTCAAGGGAAAATGTACTTATCTCGTGAACCCATCGGCTGAGTTCACTCGAAAACTATTCAGAGTTGGCTGCCATGGTTGAAATCAATTCCCTTGCTATTGTTGGGGTCATGTTAACTAATGCTCCTCTACTGGCGGAATCCACCATTTTCATCTCCATTGGTAAAAGACCTTCATAAAAGTATTGAAGTAATGTTTGCTCACTTAATTCGTGTTACGGACAACGTGCGCAAAGCTTTTTAAATCGCTCCCAATAGTCATAAAAACTTTCTTCGTTCTTTTACTGAATGGAAAGAATGCTCATTCGCAACTCGCTTGCTTTAGCCGCTGGAAAGAACCTGTCAAGAAAAATTTGATTCATGTCAGCCCATGAATTAACTAAATTTGGAGGTAAATAAAATAATCAATCTTTAGCCAAGTCAGATAAAGAGAAAGAGAAAGCTCTCAATTTAATTTGATCCTCGGTAACTCCCTGTGGTTTCATGCTAGTGCAAACCATGTGGAATTCCAACAAGTGTTTGTACGAATCTTCTGTGGGAAAGCCATGGAAAGTGGGAAGAAGATGAACGAGTCCTCTCTTTAATTGAAACGGAGTCCCGCCACTAGGAAAATTAATGTATAATGGCGTCTGAGTGACAGGAGCTGTGGCTAGCTCTCGGATCGTTTGTTCTTCTTCTGCCATTGGGATGTTGTATGCGTCTGCTTCAGAGTCTGTCTCTGTAATTGATTATGCTTCTGAACTTTTCTCTTGTTCTTCTTGTCTTTTTCTCTTTTCTCGAAGAGTTTGTGCGTGGATTCTTCGTGCTCGTGCTTCGATCTCTGGATCTAGATCTACTAATTCACCTGGGTTACTTCTGGTCATAAATCAAAAACTAGAAAATAAAATCAGTACTTGCCGTTAGTCCCCGGCAACGGTGCCAATTTGATAACCATCGTTTTGCTATCAAAATATTTCCTGGCTTCTTAATAAATGAAAATGAAAATGTAGTATAGAGAAGCAGGGTCGATCCACAGGGACTGTGGTGTTTCTGATTTAATAAAACTCTTTCTTGATTTTAGAAAAAGATAGAATTCCAGATGAAGTTGAAAAGATATATTAAAATAAAATAAATAAAAAAAGAAAATAATATAATAATAAATATTAATAGTAATAAATATAAAAGGGGGATTTTTTTTAAAAAGTTGTGGTTAAAATAAAAAATAAGAATTAAATAAAAATAATAATTAAATAAACAAATTAAAGAGATTAAGATAAAGAGAAACTTATTGTGAAAGCATCCTCAGACTTCAGCTTCGCCTCAAATTCCTCGGATCATTGAAACAAATTTTTACTTCAAGATTCACGTGAGCTTACAAGAACAATTCTTCGCTGCCAACTCAGATTATGTGGTTTCAACAACAACTGATTCCGATCTCGGTTTCCTCTTAGCAAACAATTTTGCTAAGTGTGTTCTCGAGAAGTTGAATATGCTTCAATAAGCAAATCCTTCTTCAAACATTAACCATAACAATATCCGGACCAATGTCGAAATAATTTTGATTTGAAAAGTGAGCTTCAGAAAATAGAGAAAAAATCCGAAGCGATTTAAGTACCTTACAATTCTCACGTTTGGAATTGAGCCTTCGCTTTAGTCTTCGGCTTGAAAGAAAATTACCTAAGCATAACCAAAATCATACTTAGCATAATAGAAAAGTATGCGAAAAATAGAGAGAAAGCTAGAGAGAAAAAGAAGAATTTATTCTCAAATGAGAGAGATATGTTTCTAGGCTCACCCTTAGAGGGTATTTATAGCCTTCAAAATCCTAAAAACAAGCTAAAACATCTTAAATCCTAATTAAAACACTTAAAACTATTTAAACTAAAATACCTAAAAAATAATATAATATTCTAAATCCTAATTAAAATACTAAAACCTAATTGTGTCATTTTTGTGCAATTTTCATAATCTTACGTCTTGTACAGAAAATGAATTAAAATGAACAAATAAGCCACAAAAATCAATGATTAAAGAGTAATTTAAAAGTAAAATATTAACTAAATTAAGCACTTATCAATAATACTATATATTATATGCATATAAATATAAATACAACATATTTAACGTATGCACATTATATAATGTAAATGACATCTTAAATATGCAATACCTATACATCATATAATATAAGCGTATCATATACTATAAATACGTCACATAATGTTATGTAACATCTGACGAAAATGTGTGGCTACACTAACTTTGCATTCTTGGCATAGTTTTCACTTTGATTCAAACATGAATTCAAGCTCCTATCATTATTTCCATGCAATCTTAATCAAATTCAATTCAAAAAAATCCAATTTCAATTTTCTCCTAAAACCCTAAGCATGGCAGAATTCAATATAAGCATTTCCAATTGGTGTTCATCATCACACATGCTTGGAAACAACTCTACAACATCACTAACATCAAAGTCCAACTTTAAATCAATGAATTCAAACTTGTTCTTCATCCATCCTTATAACCAACCAAATAATCCAAGCAAGAAAACCATGTAATATTTATACCAAATGATAGAGAATTGGATGTAAATTAATTCTCTATTTTTCAACTTAGTCCAAAAACCAACTAAATAAGCTTAAAAATAAAAAAGAGAAACTTACTCACCTTTGCTATGGAAGCCACGATTTTGGGCGGTTGAAGAACACTATTTTCTTGATTATTCTTCTAAAATATCTATTTCACATGTATTAAAACAATTTAAATGAATTTAAAATTCATTTAATACTAAATTACCCTTTTACCATTACTAAATCATGATAATTACCATCATGCCATTATCATGACATCATTCCTTACATCATTATCCTTACATCAACCATGAACTAATATTATATTAGCTTTCATCTTTATCCTTGCATTTTCCAAAAATTACAATCTAGTCACTTTAGCCCAACGATCTCGGTTTAACATGGAAAATCAACTTAAATCCAATGATCCATGTTAAATTATACTAATTAAAAATATAAAAATGCCATTATTAACCTTCAAATGTCATTCTTCAATTTTTCTTAAATTTTTGACTTGATCTGATTACCCGAATATTTTACCAAATTTGATCACTTAATAGCTTTTAAATCAATTTTCGGATAAAAATCTGAAAGACACATAAATACCATTCTCAAGGGTAAACTATTCATTTACAGAATAAAATTTCTTTTTTGGAAAAATTACCATTTTGGTCCCTAAATTTTTCTCAAATTTATATTTTAGTCACTACACGTTCAAAAATTGTATTTTGATCACTAGTCAACATTTTGGGATATTACATTGTCGCACAACATAACTACTCTTTCTAAGATTTTATTTGTCATTCATGACAATCCAAACTTTTCAAATATCATTATCTCGTTTTCTCTTTAGTTGATTTAACAGCATGTCACAATTTGATTGAACAATCCATGACTAATTAACAACAATCCATTTAGAGGATAATCAAGCTTAAATCAAAGGAAAGAGTTTGTAGCGTTGACATCTCGCAGTAATTACTTACAGTAAAGTTATCTTCAAAATGAACAAGATTCCCTTCAATTCCTTTACCCAACTAATGGATTTAGGGGGGAAATAAAGTCCATGCATGTAATTTCAATGGCATTTGGATGTAATATAAACAAGGGTTTAGGGTTTATAAATAATATTTATTTTACATTGATTCAGTAGAGCCCTGTTTGATTCATCGCTTACTTTGACTGTTAAAGAAAATTTGAACCCTTTTTATCAAAGAAAAGAACAGGGGATTGAAGAAATCTTACATGGACGGCTTTTCTTATCACGATGCATTTAACAAATGATTTTATTATATTGTTTTTCTACTTGATCAAAAGCTATACTGCGTTACATATTAAGATTAATTTTATTGTAAAATTCAATTATATTACATTATCTCCAGTCTATCTCAATGAGGTCATTCTCGAGTTTGAAAATGCACCCAATACCTCATTCAGCCCAAAACTATAATACTCATCATAAAATTCTACGTTCGCTATGTAGCTACGAGCAAACTTCTAGTTTTATTCCAAAGATTTCCCACTAATCAAACCAAGTGGCCCTATTATAAAAGAGGTTGATGATTTTTTCTTTTATTTAAACCTCTATATTTCATAACTTAAATGCTTAATTGGTGGTATTTGTGTTGGGGCTAATAAGGCTCAGTGTAATATACGTAAGGCTACATAAGAGAGTGTATCCTTCTAGCATGCCATAATGGAGAAATAATCCAAGCTTACGAGTGCATTGTGACAGGTGGATTTCATTAGATTTATACAAAAACGCAAATATTTAGATCTTCATCTTTTTGAAATATAGCCAAGGACTCAAAATTTTCTTTTTGAAAAGTAACATTTTATTCTTTTTTTTAACCTAAGTTTTCTCTCAATTTTTTTTGTAGCCTTCATCTTTTTTTTTTTTAGATGAATGACTAAAATTTCATTGACTCAAAGAAAACAGAGATATACTACAGAGAAAAACACTAGCTGCTAACAAACAAAGCAGCTAAGAAAACTACCCTGTACGAAACCAATCCCAATAAACGAACCAGTAGCTACAGAAAATCAAAGAATCAAAACAATCAAACTTAAGGAAGGACACAGCATCAAAATAGCATAATCAACCAATACCCCATTCGACACATATATCAGCATTCTGCCCAGCACCCCTTATTGCCGATCCCACTAGGCGAAACCGAATATCCTCCATTATCCTGCAAATCAGATCTCCCACAGTACTCCTAGACCCACCAAAAACTCTACAGTTCCTCTCATTCAATATCCTATATACATAAGCATTCCCAGCAAGCTTAAGCAAAGTAATAATTAAAGACCTACCCTTAAGCTCTGCCACAGCCCACAAAACCTCTTGGCTCCAGCCTCCAACGGACCTTGAAAGATTACATATTTGCAGAATGCCACCCCAAACCTCCTTAGAGAACACACAATTGAAGAATAAATGATCCCTTGTTTCCAAATCACTGGAACATAGAACACATTCACTCGCGACAACCAAACCCAATTTTAACAATCGATCTCTAGTAGGCAATCTGTCAAAAAGCGCAAACCAAGTGATCATAGCAAACCTGGGAATGTGCAAAGGAAACCAAATTAGCCCTGCCCAAGACTCCCTCTCGTACTTCCTCCGGATCACCTTCCAAACCTCATTGACCTTGTACTGCCCAGAAAAACCACCTGAGGCAGGATCCAAAAACTGACCCGCAACAGCCCTCAACTTCAGAATCTTCCTCCAAAACCAACTGTAGGAAGAAGTAGGCTCAAAAGCCATAAAAGACTTTCCTTTCAAAATATACTCATTCGTCCACCTTACCCAAAGGGTCCCCACGTTAGAAACTAAAGCCCACACATGCTGAAACATACTTGTCTTGTTCCAATCAATAAGATTCTGCAACCTTAAACCCCATTCATGGTTAGGCCTACACACCAAATCCCAACTCACCCGGGCCCCTTCATCTTTCATTTGGATTTATTTAGGCGGCGACAATAATTTTAATATTGATTATCGACTGACAAACGTCATTTTACTCGTCAAAATAAAATAAATCCTCTTCAAAATAAAATAAATAAAATAGAAAATAATATAGTGAAAGAGGGTCAATCAATAGGGATTTAATAATTTCTGATGTAAATTCGTGTTGATTTTAGCCTTGGCAACTACAAGAAAAATAAATAAAAGGGTGGATTTGGTGAAAATGAGATGAAGTAAAGAAATGTAGAAAATGAAAACTAAAGGCAAGGCAAAATAAATTAAATGTAAATAAAATTGAGAAAATATTAATGACAAAACCTCCTCGAGCTAGCTTTGCTTCAATTTCGTCGATCATCAAAATGGATTTTTCCCACGGGATTCATATCGGTTACAGTCTACAAGGCCGAACCATTGTAACTTGCCTTTTTCTTTAATAACCAATCTTCCCAAGTCACTCTTCGAAAGCCGATTTTTTAATGAACTAACCCCAACTATTGCTGTTAGAACAAATAGTTTAAGTTCTGAAAAAGCCTGATGGATTATGTTGTCTCGTCGAGAATCAAACCCGATCTCGATTTTTCTTAGTGGATAGCCGCTAAGTATGTTCACAGAAGGTTGAATATGCCATAGGTTGATCCCTCCTCCCAACTATAAATTAAAATAACATCTAGACCAACGTCAACTTTTTTATTTGAAAGTGTTTTAATTTTGAAAGTAAGATCGATTGCCAAACTAATAAAATAAAAATCGAGAATATAACCCGAAGGGTATTAAGTGCTATATCAATTCTCACATATGTAATTAAATCATCGCTAGCTCTCGGCTAATAAGAAAATTAGCTAAGCATGGTAGAAACCATACTTAGCATATTTTGTGAAAACAATAGACAGCGTAAAGTAAAAAGAAAGAGAAAATGAAAGAAAAAGAGAACTTTTAACGAAGATAAAATAGCTGACAAAGCTAAAAATAAAGATTAAGATGTCTAAGCCTTACCCAAAGGAGGGTATTTATAGGCTTATAAATCCCTAATATACATGGAAATTAAAAATTTTAAAGATAATTCCATATGTTTGAAAATTAAAACCCAAATTTCCTAAAAAGTATCATTATATCGTTTGACTGAGTTGTCTCCAGAATATTCCTCGCGTTGACCAGGCCCTCTAGAATATGCCACATCAGACCCACATCGTTCCCGTGTCTCCAGCTGCAATCATAAAATAAAAAAGTAACAGAATGCATCCTTTTACTGATAATTCCAGTAATCAAACCAGTGCACAGAAAATAGACGAATACTACCCAAATAAACAATGAAGAATTCATAAAATAAGAGAATTAGCAAGTAGAAAAATGACAATTTAAAATGCTCATCAAATTCCCCCTCACTTGTCTCATGCTTGTCCTCAAGCATGCTTTGATCAAACTAGTTAAGAACTCAATTTATTTTCCTCGAACCCGTTTCATACTTAAGAAAATTATAAAAGTCATGCTCACAATAACCATTTGAATCAAAACAACAATCAAGTGAATGAACATAAGTAGGAGTAAATCAAAAAACATTGCAACTTCTAATTATTCATAAATCAAAATTCAACCTAACTAAATTCCTCACTAGTATTCACTCAAATCACTCCAATGTGTTTTGGGTGCCAAATTCGCTTAAGTCAGAATTAAACAAGAATTTCCATAGGCTTGTAACAAAATCAATTCTCCACTACTTAGAAGAAATAAGATGTAAAGATCATTAGGCTTAAAAAAAGGGTGCAATGAGGCTTAGGTAAAGGTGGGAAAAAGGCTAGAAATGAGTTTAACAATAAAAAAAGATTTCTTCAAATGATCAAACCAATTCCACGAGCAAAAGAAGATAAATAAACAAAAAATTATTGACATCAAAATCAAACTCAATCAAACTACCTTTTTTCTGATTTTTCTCTGATTTGTTTGCTATTTTTCTTTATTTGAATGCTTCTATTTTTTTCGTGGAATAAGAGTGCAAACAAGCTTCAATTCTTTGTCTCGACAAGGATGAAAAGAGAGTGAAAAACAAAAGGGCTCGAGGTTTAAGATTGAGGTGAAAATAAAGAAGTGAGAAAAGACTAAAAATGGTTCACTAATAGATAAAAGAAGGGTCGGCTTTTTCATGGTGAAAGTGGAGTGAATCCTAATGCCCAAATAATATCAAAACACCATATTTCTCGTGTAGTCTCAAAATGTATCATGCCACATGTTCTAGATTTCCAAATTTAGTTTGACACACTCAAACCAGAAAATGAGCATAAAAATTAAGAAACATGCTCAAGGCTCAAATCTTACCAATTTGTTTGGGAGAGTTGTAACACCACAAATTCCAGGCTAGTAGTTTCGGGTCTACCCAAAATTTCTTTTAAGTTGTTGGGCTGAATTGAGTTGGTCTTTGGCCCAATTAGGCATGAAGAGGGGATTTTTGTAGAGTAAAAAAGTAAGGAGGGATCAGTAGAGTAATTAACCCAATTTTAAAAGATGAAGACTTTTAATCTCTTCTTCTCATTCCTTTCATTTTCTTCCTCCTTCATCATTTTATCTCATTCCTCATCCTCTCCAAAGTCCTTAGCATAAAGGTAAGTTTTTGAACCCATTTTCATGCTTCAATTTCATTCATAATTCTCTCATAACATCATAGTAATATATCAAGCCTTGGGTTCTTTGTTTCTAATTGGAAGTTAGGGTTTTATCATCCAAGTAATGGTGGGGATGATTTATAGCTAAAGGAGCTCAATTTCAGGATTCAATCAACAAGGTAGTGTATTTCTAATCATTTGGAGTATTAAGATTCCATGAATTTCAAGAATTTGTTAAGATTTGTGTAGTTGATCTTATTAGAGTTTAAACTTGATTTCTAGATTAAATCACATTTCGAGTGTTAAGGAAGTGTTTTTATGACACCTAAGGACCCTAAATAACTTACTAAAACTTCAGAATCAGTTTATGAACCAACCCAAGATGTTTAGGGTATTTTGTGGTGATTCCTTACCCTAAAATACCCATTCCAGAGTTAAAGTATGGGTACTTCTATACTAGATAAATAGGGGCTAAAATTAGGGTTTTTAGAGGCAAGTATCGATACTGATAATATTGATATTGTCCTTGTAGTAGCGATACTCAGGGTAGTAGTATCGGTACTGAGGCCCCAAATTCGTAACATAATACATTTTTGGTACTGATACTCATAGAGGTATCGATACTTGACCCTAGGGTATTGATACTACAACTGGAGTATCGATACTACCCACATCAGATGATTAGATTTGACCCGATTAAGGTATGTAAGGATAAAGCTTTGTTCATAAGAGACATAAATGGCCAAAGGGGCCCATAGACACTCTTAGGAGTGGGTTACATACAACGTAACCACAATAAGCGTAATTCGTCAAAGTACATTCAGTAAGCACATAACAGGTAGATACAGATGGAGGACCAGTGCTCAAAGTGTACCGATGAGAGGTATGACCATGTAATCAGAGTTTAGGACATCAATTATAGTATATTGAAAGAACGACCGAGAGTGTTGGAAGCACATTTATTCCTTTAATTCGAGGGCGAATTGAGGGAAAAGGGTAAGATTAGCAATAGAGTATCACTACCCAGGATTAAACCTGAGTCAGATACTGGGCCAATCAGAACCCTAATCGATATATAGTAAATACAATAATCGCCGTAAAGTATCGAATTGTGTAGAGAATTCCCAGAGTCAGAGAATGACTAAAATATGCCTTATTAGCGTATAACCAGATCAATATAGATTATCAGTAATAACAGACTACTGATTCCTCGTATAACATTCTAGTTTTGAGAATGAGTAAACAAAATCAGTAATAACTTAGTAACATTCAGAATAGTAACAATAACATCTAAAAACAATAACAATTAGGGTGTCATAAAACCACTATTTGTGTGACACTCGAGAAACATCCAGGACACCCATGTTACTTTAGCAGTAGGGCGATTGTCTTGATTTTCAGTCTATCCAGGTATATACCAGTCAGTGATAAAACTCTTATTTTGCTAGTTGGGGCAAAATTCCCTAAGACTCGACGGAGTAAGTTGGCGAGTGTATTTTTTTATGCAGATTTCGGATCTCATTGTTAACTTCCTTAAAAAGGCTACTTTTAAGGCCTTTTTCACTTAAGTTATTGTTTGTTTAAAAGCTCATTTTAGGCATTTTAGGATCATGTAGTTGCATATAGTGCATTTGTGGTGGTTGTGCTATTTTATTTCTTAACGGTGCTGTTTGAGGGAAAGTTGCAGTTTGTTTGTGGTGTGCAGGGAATAGCAAGAAAAAAGGATTCTTTGGGAAGTAATGCCGCGGCATCACACGTTTCTAAAGCAGATTGAAATACATTGGCATTTCCGGCATAGAAAAAAATAAAAAAATATTTCTGTATAAGGACAGCTGGCACTGCACGTGAATGACTGCTGTAACCGCCTGCCAGAGCTGCCAAAGGACCACTACCACTTGGAGGATAAGGTTCACACGTGATTCTAGGGGTATGAGGGGTATTTTGCACCCAGCAACCTCATCATTACCCTTAGATATTTTTTATTATATATTACACCTCATGGGGGAGAAAAAAAAGAAAAAGGAGGAGGACATATACGGTAGCAAAAATCACATTTTTATTTTCTCTCTTATTCCTTGGGATATTCCTCCATTGATAAAGTTCCAAGGAGTGGCGAGCTAGGAGCCGAAAGGAGCTAGCGAGCTAGGTGGTTCACGGTGGCCGAGAGGAGACCTCCGGTGGCGCGTCGAAGGCTTCTTCTCAACTTCCCCTTTTGCTGCTATTTTATATTTATTTGTGGGTTGTTGGAACAAATATTTTCATGACTTTGTGTTTGGATATTTTAAACCCCACCATGAAGTAACTTATTTGGTGGTGGTTGATTTAATGGTTGTTTGAACTTTATTTTTAATGGTATATTTAAGTTTATTGTTGTTCTTTATTTGCTTTGCTTATGAA